TTTTTATCGGGAAATAATGTTCTAGCCAAAGGCGTGCATATAGAACGTACATATGTGATTTGGATTGTTATAGGATTGTGTGATTAACTTACTGTTGGCTAACACGCTGTCTCCAGACATACAGGTCTCGTGGTTTTCTGGAAACCCGTGGAAGCCGTGGATGCTAGCAGCTTGCGAATCGAAGCGAAAGGTCAGTATAGTCGTTGGTTATTACTTTATTAGGCTAAAGAAATACTAGCTTCATTATAGAACGTGACCTGAAATAACGCGAGAATTTATCGTCGTCATCGTCGTTGTTTTCATCGGCGTCTTCATCATCGTCACTGCCACAACTATGGTAGTAACCGCGACTGAGACAGTCAACAGATATTAATGTTATGTAATAAAATACTGCAGGTTTTGTGCATGGGAGGTGGACAGGTTATCCCGCATCTTGAGAAGTGGGTTGTTATTTATGACAAGCATCTCCTACCCCTTCTCTCTCTCGAAACCGTTAGATTTCTGGTACGTACCGTATATGACGTCTTACGTATTTAAAAATTGCTAATACATAATTTGGGGTAGAAATTATGATTGGTAGCAGCAAAATCTATTGTATTATTACCGTATTATAATGATTTATTACACGTATTATATTATTTTCATATTATATAAATGTAAATAAAAATTGCGTCTGTCACTCGCGGCATCTCACTTACACAGCTTACCTACTTTAGAACGGGATTCCGAGACCTTAACCAAAAGGGCAAAACAGTATCAGCGTGGTAGGAGATTGTTTCGTGGCAACTCTAGAGAAGATGGCGCTGGAAGAGGAGGTGACGCGGATAGTAAGTACAACATCATTTAATTCTGTACGAAACTATATTAAACACGTACGAACCTGTATTAAACTCGTACGAACCTATATTAAACACTTACAAACACATATTAAACACGTATAAACCTATATTAAACTCGTACGTACCTATATCAAACGCGCACGAACCTATATTAAACGCACACTAACTTATATTAAACATGTACGAACCTATATTAAACTCGCACGAACCCATATTAAACACGTACGAACCTATACCAAACACGTACGAACCTATATCAAACACGTACGAACCTATATCAAACACGTACGAACCTATATTAAACTCGTACGTACCTATATTAAAGACGTACGAACTTATATTAAACACGTACAAACATCTTTGTATTCGAACTTCTTATGTAATCTCTTCATGTTCAGATCACCACGTGCGAGGATAAGCATATCCATCGAATCACAGGCGATCGTGGACTCTATCTTCAATGCGTATTTCATCCAGCAGGTATGATTAGATGAAGCCAGCGATGATGATGAAGGACAAACCTCGGACTCAACATAACCCTTAGAATGAATATCGCAAATGTTTAAAATGGCCGCCATAAAACTGATATTTACCTATATCTCCGCTTCTAAATAACATAGAGCTTTGATTTTAAGTGCTAAACATACATTTTCAGGGACAAGGAATCCAATGAAACACATTTCAATAAGCTAAACTTGACCAAAAAGCCAAAATAGCAGCCAAAACCAGATGTCATGGTACCTGTCACACAACGTGCATCTATTCTACACTGAAGTTCGTGTGTAAGCATGCTCGTCGCCATGGTGTTACGCCCATCATCACCTTTGACCAACCACTATAGTGGAAAGCCATCATGATCATTGAGACTGAGCCCACAGGAAGTGTCTTGGATGATATAGTCTTGCTCCTGGGGGGCTTTCACACAGAAATGAGTTTCTTGGGAAGCATCGGGCACCTCATGGCTGGATCAGGACTGCAGGAATTCTTGGAGCTAATCTATGCAGGCAACGCGGTGGTACACATGATGACAGGCAAGGCTATTGCACGAGCAGTACGAGGACATCTCATTGTTGATGCAGCACTGAATGCCTTAATTTTGTCAGACGTACTTGGTGTGCCACTCCCTCAACCATCTGCAGAGCCACATGAAGTGGAGAAGACCAATGAGGCAACAGTGTCACCAGATGATGAGCCTACGACAGACGGAACTGGAAACACTGATCTTGATGAACTTGCTGCCCTCTACAAGAACCTGATGGAAGGTTTCGTGTCTGCAGAGTTCTTTCAAGCTGACGTGTTAACCAGGATCAAGGAGCTCCTCAGGGCCAAAACCGAACCCTTGAAGTCCTCTAGGACTGCCACACATTGGCTACAGTACATGGAGATGGTGGACATACTACGGAAGTTTGTCAGAGCAGAGCGCATTGGCAGCCTCTGGGCACAACCTCTACACCAAATCAGCCCGCCTCTATGTGCAGCGGATGAGCAAGATCAAGGATGAACATCTAGATGTGTACCAACAATTTGAAGAAGGGTTCCATGTTGTCAGAAGAAGTGATTGCCTATGGGCTGGTCTGTCCGTAGATCTCACCATCAAACAGGTCCTGATGAGAAGTATGAAGACCAGCGGTGGCCTGACGAGAGGGCGAGGCATGACAGAGCAACAGCGTATCATATGACTGCTCTCCATGCCTGCCTGTGCTGAAGTCAACAATGCTATGCAGCAGCTCACACGTGTCAACTACAACACTGGTGAACAAAACAAAGACATGACAAATGCTAGACAAGCACGTGACATGAAAGACACACATGCAGTTATCAGCTATCTGCAAGAGAGAACACCCTTCAGCTCAGATCCGAGCTTGCGCAGTATCTCGACAGGGGTGCATGCAACCAGCACAGTCAATGTGGACTCAGCAAAAACTGTTGGAACAGCTATCCTGACCAACATGGATGGACAAACTGCTGCTGACTACACATTCAAGAGGAAGGATTAGGCCATCACCTTGGCTGCGAAATCGGCAATAAAGATTGATGGTGAGGCAGTACAAGTGGATCCCAAGCTGCTTTTCCAGCGACTGACAATTGCTGCAAAAGCTACAGAGGATCTGGAGTCATTCAGCTTGGGGTACCACGGCTGAGAGGACGTATTTTTTCTCCGTTTAGCTTTGTTACATTATGACGGAGCAGAGCGGGCAATCGGAGTTAAACGGTACTTTGAGGGAACTTCTGAGTGGGTTTAAAGGGCAGAAAGCAGAGTTAAATTCTTTACGAGATGAGGTTCAAGGCAATTCTCAGAATGTTTCAAATGAGGTGAAAAAACTGAAATCGGAGAAGGACCTGATCTGGAAATACACGGGAAACAGAATTCAGTGCGTATTTAATGGAGATTTGTTAGATTCCGTTACCCAAGGCATGTGGGCGTGTGATAACGACAAAGTGTCTTATGCCAGAAAGATTTTAACAGAGATTGGCAGAAAGTTGAAGCAGAGAAATAAGCTTATTCGTATTGCTGATTCGTCTGAGGCCGGTTGAGAGACAGTGCGTCAGTACGAGGCGAATTCCGTGGCTAGTGATTCAGATGATGAATCCCGTATTCGGAAGGCTGAGGCGCAGGCTGTGCGCCAGAAAAAGTCCAAGAAACAAAGCCAGCACAAGTCACCATATTTTAACGCTGCAAGGCCAAGCACTTTTGCTACTGCTGGTGGCGGTCATCCCGGGATGGGGCCCTTGTTCGGATTCACAGGGAGAGGACAGCAAAATTTTCCGGGGATACGGAATTTTCGTCCATCACAAGAAGCCTCCTATCCAGGAACGTCATATTCGGGGACGCCATTCACAGGACGTGGTGTCGGAGCCTGTTTCGCCTGTGGGGAGTTCACTCACTATTGCCGAGACTGCCCCCATTCGGCCGGGGTCTCACCCGCCACCTCTATTGGAAAGAAGTGAGACGGCGTCCCAAGCGGGGGCGGGCGGGAAGCAGCGTACCATGGATTCGATAGAAGATGAGTATTATGTTGTTGATAGTGAAGAATGTTTTACTCATAATTATTTCGAATATGAACAAGGGCAAAAAGATATCATTGTTAAAGGCAGGTTGAAAGATAATGTAATATTTTGGCAGAATATTGGTGCAAACAGTTTTGTCTTGGACGTTATTATGAATGGATACAAAATTCCTTTTTATTCGGATCCGCCAGCACAATTTATCAAAAATAATAAATCTGCTCTTAAGGAGGATGAATTTGTTAGTGGAGCCATTTCTCATTTGTTACATAGAGGGTTGATTGCGGAATGTAAATCAACGCCAAGAGTTGTTAATCCGTTGTCGGTTCAGTTCAGCCGTATACCTCAGTGCTACAACAAATAACAATAAATGATATTTATTGAAGAGAAGTGGTTGTTGTCATCTATGCATGGATAGTCAGTGGTTTAAGGGAAGTGCAGTTACCCACCAGCTCTGTTTGATTCCACACTGCTCCTCCGACAGCCACAGAAGCCAGTGCTAGCAGATGCTATCTGGACACTCCTGACACACGATGCACCAGGAATCACATTTTTGTCACGCTGGTTGATGTTACGTACGGTGTTGCCGGCGACGGGGTAGTCCCCGCCCGTTGCAGCAAGCCGTCCGGCTGCGGTGGGACAGTTGGCTGTGTAGGTAGAACGTGACGTTTTGTGCACGGAAATCTTGTTGGGAGAGTTCCCAGTATTGTCTTTGTCTTTTGAATTGTATTGGGTCATGCGGGTTTTTTTTATATATCGCAATGTATAGTAGTAAACAGACTGTTTTTGTTGTAGACCCTCGTGCGAGCCTTGCCGGGGCGGCCAAGACTCGGAAAAGGGAAGGGAGTAATGTAGCGGTCAAGGGTCTACCTACGTCACATGACCTGCGTCCTAAGGTGATTCAAGTATAGCGGGTAGTGATTTACCTACGTCACATAACCCGCGTGCTAAGGTGATTCAAGTATAGCGGGTAGGGATTCACCTACGTCACATGACCCGCGTCCTAAAGTGATTCAAGTATAGCAAGTAGGGATTCACCTCCGTCAGGTGACTCGAATCCTGGATCTTAAAGGGATGGTCACGTGGGGTAGGCACGTGACCATTATGGGTATATAAGCTGCTGCTTTTCGCAGTAAGGGTGTGCACTGGCGTCTCTCGCCAGCTGCTCTATGGTACACAACGCAAGGCTTATCAACGAGTGGTAAGAGAACGTTCACGTTTCATTCCCCGACTCACCCTCGCCTGGCGTTTGCTGATGGATTGACCGTCCCTGCACGCAGGCACGTTGAGTTCTCGGGCCGTATTGCTTGTTACTGTATATGCTGTGTTTTCTGTTTCTGGGTATTCAGCCCAAGTTTGTGTGACGTTCATAGCTACCGGCCTGTCGGTTGGTATGCTAATAAAAGCACCGGCATTCCCGGTTTGAATACAAAACTTGGTGTTGTGGTCTCCGTTACTGCTCGTGTGCGCGTGTGGATCTATAATCAAACCTGTGGTGCACATTGAGGCCGTGACTGGCTCAAACGTTACACGTGTCACAGAGACAGCTGAAGGTCAGGCTCCCATTATGTACTCTTGATGCAATTCATCAACGTGTAAAGCAAAGACCTGCGCTTCCTTGAAAATAGTTTGAGAGCCCACTTTGACATTGGCCTGTTATTGTAACAACCTAAAATAATAAATCATATATATGCGTGCACATCATGTCACAGCATGTCCATTTGCGAGCATGTCACAGAGACAGCTGAAGGTCAGGAATGTCCGCCCATATTTTATGGGAAACTCGTTTCTCATACTCACGTACGTGTGTCACACACAGAGATGAAAACGTTTAAAAGGATAGGAAGCACTGCGTGGATAGGAAGCACTGCGTGGATAGGAAGAACTGCGTGATTTGCAGCGTTGCCCTGTCGGTTGTTACCTGAGCTCGCCGCGCCGTAAAGCAAGGAAAATAGTTCTTAATTCGTTCTAAGTCGTAAACCTTGATAATCACGTTTGATTTATTTTCATTGATACCAAATCGTTTTCTGTTAAGAATAATATAGTTATTCTTTCATAGTCTTTCTATTTATTGGCTAGTAAAATACAGTAAATCATTTAATATGAATCTATTTACTTGGTCGGCAGGTCAATATAAAAGTCTCATCTATAATTTGTAGACTCCTTGTCCTAATGTTGATGGTATGTATGAACCGTACTTTAGTTACAAAAGTTTTGACGTTTCATGCGATTACTTTACCTATAGCTTTTAAGGTTATTGAAAAAGTTCTTGGTCGCCATCCGGTACTGATGGATGCATATGTGCATAATACACAGATCCTAACCAATGCTTTTATAAACCTAATAGAGATTCCCGTGTTAAGCCGACCTGATGACGTTGCTCGATCTGTTTATCATTAAATCGGGGGAGAAGAACTTAGGTGATTTTCCTATTTTACTCTTTCACATTGGTTGCAAACAAAGAAATTACACGTTAAATTATAACGAATGTTCCTCGTTACGAAAGATATGTTAGCTTTGCTCTAGACACTTGCTGTTGCGTAAGCAATACCAGTAAGTATTGTAATTCTCGCGATAATATGAAAACGGTCGGAAAAATCGCTCGAAATAGTTACAGTATTAATAATTATACTTAATTCATTTGGACAATAATTTTTCGGAGCTTCATCGTAGATTTGAATGGTTATTGTCAGGTTGCCGCCGTCACACCAGCTGGTCTGTTGAATCGTCTTTGGCTGAGGCAACAACGCTACCGAAAACTTGCTCGAGCTCGCAGCTCTAGTGGATACCGTGTCCAACGGCCTGGACGTGAACTCGGCTAGCATATTTTACACTGACTCTACCTACGGGTATGTATTCGTATGTAGACGATATCAATATATGATATTGAAGTGGAAGGCTACATAAGGAATTACGGGGCGCCATGCAGGACAGGGCTCAATTTTGTCATAACCCAACCCACCCTCCATTCTGTCTCACAAACTGAATTTGTGAACACAAAACTCAATTCTGTCAATCCTGTACCACAAAACTCAATTTGTAAACACAAAACTCAATTCTGTCAATCCGTTTCCACAAAACTCAATTTTGTGAACACAAACTCAATTTTGTCAATCCTGTTCCACAAAACTCAATTCTGTCGAACCGGTTCACAAAACTCAATTTTGTAAACACAAAACTCATTCTCTGTCGAACCGGTTCCACAAAACTCAATTTTGTAAACACAAAACTCAATTCTGTCGAACCGGTTCCACCAAACTCAATTTGTAAACACAAAACTCAATTCTGCTCGAACCGGTTCCACAAAACTCAATTCTGTCGAACCGGTTCCACAAAACTCAATTTTGTAAACACAAAACTCAATTCTGTCGAACGGTTCACAAAACTCAAGTTTGTAAACACAAAACTCAATCTGTCGAACCGGTTCCACAAAACTCGATTTTGTTCGCCAAATATGGCACACGCATGTAAGAAGGGCCTACCATTGGGCTTATTCTGACAAATGGTAGCCCTTCTTACATGCGTGTGCCATATTTGGGCAACAAATCGAGTTTTGTCGGACCGGTTCGACAGAATGAGTTTGTCCTGTTTACAAAATGAGTTCAGTTGTGCGAACCGGTTCGACAGAATTGAGTTTTGGTGTTTACAAAAATTGAGTTTTGTGGAAACCGGTTCCACAGAATTGAGTTTTGCTGTTTACAAAATCGAGTTTTGTGGAACCGGTTTGACACAAATTGAGTTTTGTGTTTCACAAAATGAGTTTTGTGGGACAGATGACAGAATTAAGTTTTGTGTTCACAAAACTCATTTTTGTCAAGTTTATAGGTACAAAAATGCCTGTCCTGCATGGCGCCCCGTAGGAATGCCATCGGGCATTTACTTTTTAGCATATTTAATAGCAGGGTAACCATCATATATATATGACGTGTAAATTGTGTGCTCATCAACCGATGATATCCAGCTATTAGTTCTCGTGCTATTAAGTTTTATGCGTTGATCTACATGAATGCTTGTATTATTTCAGAAACATGCTTGGAAACAGATACAACTCATGGGATTCCGTTTAAGATAAATAATACTGACGATAGCGCATATATTTTTCAATTTCACAGACATTTGATAAGCAATATATTATCAGGAGTGTATCAAAACTATGTTTGATACACTCCTGATATTATAGTAAGCGGTGAGAACAAGATGTTCACACCTCGGGACGAAAGCGTAAAGTGTACAAATAATTAGTGGAATCTATATAAATGAATGAATGCAGAATTAGCCTAATATAAACATTGGCACATATAAATTCCTAGAACGTTATCAAAAAGCAATTTCTGTTTATTATATAAATTGTTGTACTTCATAATACAATCATGAATTTTAATACACACATATTTACAGGAGTAATATTATAAGCAAAATCTAAAACGATAAGATAATCATAATAAATAATAATATAAATACATATTCAAATCTATTACGATGATAGTGCACCTACCGGAGTCCTATATCTTCTAGCTTGCTGTTGATATCACCAGCTCAGATTGTCTCTCTTCAACTATATGATAACGTAAAAATACTATGATATTCACCACATAATAAGACATGACGTAATAAGCAAAACAGATATAAGCAGTTTTCACCGTGTAGAGAGCAACTGGTACCAGGGCTCAACTGGGAACACACACACACACACACACACACACCACACACACACACAACACACACACACACACACACAAACACACACACACAAACAAACACACACACACAACACACACACACACACAGAACCACACACACACACACACACACCACACACACACACACACACACACTACACACCACAGCACACACAGCACACACACACACGACATACCACACAGCACACACACACACACACACACACGACACACACCATTTTACACACACACGCACACACACACACACGAACACACAGCACCACACACATCACTCCACACACACACACAGAACACACACACACACACACGACACACACACACACTCACACGCACCACACACACCATATATATATATAATATATATATATTATATATATATATATATATATACATTTAGAGCGTTAGCGCCAAGTTCACCAGCAAATAGTATAAGAGAACAAATTGTCATAGCCTTGCCCAGTTCGCCACCTTATGTCGACATTGAACGTCTTCCTTAATCATCTGCAAACACCACTAAATTTCCTCCGTCCGAAACCGCGAATCAGATTTGACGGAATATCCTATATTTCGGTAAACAGCCCCAAAGCCGCCAATTAGCGCCAACAAGCTAAGCCCCATCTTCGCTAAAACATGTGGAGTTCGTTGCGATTGTTCTCGTTGACGTGTGTGACATGCCACAAAATCACGGCGAAGTCCCATCGTAAGCATTTAGGGGGGCAGATGGAGCATTTGGGAGTCTGTACGAAACGTCATCAAACGGGCCCGCGGGCGGGGGGCGGGGGGGGGCGTGCGCGCGGGGGCGGGCGGCCGCGGGGGGGGGGGCGGGCGGGCCGCCTGGGGGGCGGCGGCGGGGCGGGGCGTCCGGGCGGGCGGGGCGCCGGGGGGTCGCGGGGGGGGGCGGCTGGGGCGGGGGGGCGCGCGGGGGGTCGTTGGGGGGGGGGGGCGGCGGCGGCGGGCGGTGGCGCCGGCGCGGCGGGGCGGCCGGGGGGCCGCATACGAGATTAACACATTTCTAAAACGTCCCTTTATGCCCCCAAAGCCGCCCGCTCGCACGCATCTTCGATGGAATGCGTACGCGCTGAACTCATTGTGCTAAATAGCAACATGGCTTGCTCTAACTCGCGAGTCGCAGTCTATTACGGAACAGCGTAGTTCCTTTTAATTAAACTGCGCATATCTGCTTAACCCATGCTACTTGGTCTGCCTGCCCCTAACGCCTGCTAACATTTTAGTGACATTTCAATATTCATCCTTATTACTTAGTTCCTTATTGCCCAATTGATATTATTAGATTTAAATCCGTATTAATGATTTTGATATGTCATGAGCGCGGTGCTGCTGTGTGAGTGTGTGCGCTCGCGTGTGCCGCTCGCGTGTGCGTATGCGCCGTGCGTTTGCGCGCACTGCGTATGCATATGCTGTCTTCGTGTGCTCATGCATGTGCTGCGCATGCACGCCACGATCACTGTGCGTTCAATGAGAGATTAGTTCATTTTGCGCCCTCACTCAACACTGGCCCGCGTAGGCCTCCCGAACCATCTGCGGGTGGACGACCGCGGATTCGCACAAACGCGACGCAGAAGGAGCCTTACCTGCCTCTGGATGTGGGGGGCCATGACCACTTTTATATCTCTACTGCTGGAACCTATCAAAGATGATAAGGACTGTCTCATCTGAAACATATTCACACACTTGATTGTACTGGTTCAAATAGTGTTCACGCGCCAAAGAGTAGTGTCGCTATCGTACAGTGCCCTATACACGGCGCCAGCTCGAACTCGTCGTAATTTAACTTCCAAGCTCTAATAATAATTAATCTTCAAGATACGTGTTTAATTACTACAAAATATAATGAATAGATAACTTTTAAAAACAAATAAACTTAGTAAATAATTAAGTTATAATTTTTATGAATGTTCTTACTTTTAAATGTTTAAATAATTTTAATATTTATGTATAAATTCGTTATTATGTGTATAATTAATAGAATTTAGTATTAAAAAAAGAAAATGAAGCGAAAATGCTTTATCCTCGAAACTTTGTTCACCGTCTTTCATGTTACGGATATCTCGCCTCCTTCTTGACTCATGAAAGCTTTTACGATTTTTTAACACGATCGAAAGTAACAAAGGGAGGATATTTCCCGGTCATGCTGTGGCTGGCATGCTCGGTGGCCTATCTCCATGGATTTGCGCGAGAGGCCGCCATCCTCTATACGACGGATAGTAACTCTGTTTCGCCAATGCGACGTGCATCGTTATAACTGGCAAACTATCGACTGACATCGCAGGCACGAAAACTGAATCATTACACATTTTTCTGCCTCCATTGTTGTCAAGACTTTCGTATATTTCTGGATGCTGAATATTAGTAGTGCTAATATTTTTCAGAGTAACTTAGTTTTACTTCTATAATTTTAGTAATTTCGTTAACATATATATGTTACGTTTTGCGCCCTTTCAATATCTTACACTGTTGTTTATTCATATTAGCTGTATCTCATAAGTCATATATTAATCAATTTCTCACATAGCCCCAGTAGCACATTGACAATTTGTCGCTCACTTCACCCTGATGCTTACCTAATCTCCAAATTACATACTCAAGCGTGGTTTAAGACACTATCAGGATAACGCCCCCTTGCCAAAAAGAAGGTGTTTGTTCTATGAGCCTTTAGCAAAAATAGCACAGCTTTTTGAAATCAGGCGTTTTTCATGAGCGCAGTGCGTTTATACATTGTTTAGATTATAAAATACAGACATCGCGCCGCGTACACAAACAGCAACAACAAAACAACACAAACAAACAAAACACAAACAAACAAACCTAAACAAACACACAACATCACACACACACACACACACCACACACCAACACGAC